TTAAGTTGGGTAAAAATTGGATTACAATTGTGTTTTCTGGATAATATTAGTGCCTGGATGAATGATTTTACCTGTAGCATGGACTTGTTCTTTAAAGAGTTTGTGAACTCTTACATATACCAAGTGAAGTGACTGGCCTCAGGTGATACACAGAGATGAAACAAATTATCCTACATAAGTTGTACCTGTTTATCTACGGTACTCTCTTCTCTGCATCTGGGAGTGGAGAGCTGAAATTACACACTGCAGAGCTCAGTGAAGAGAGCTCTAAGAGCTGATTGGAAGAAAGAGACACACCCCCTTCAACACAACACACAGGAACAGACCTAAGGCTGTCAATCTACTGGAGCTCCCTCCCCGTCACCATTTTTCTCTTGGTGTCAGGAAAACTTTTCAGACTTGATTCCTGCTGATAGCAGATGAATGAGACAGCAGACAGAAATGACACTTAGTGCTCTTAATTGAGACAAGTTCACATTATAGAGGGATATGCTTTGTTCATATTTCAAGTCTGAGGTTTACAACCCCGTTGAAAGATATAGTCCTTCAATAAAGTAAAGCTTTTATAATAAAATAACTCCAGTTCATTTATTCACATGAAAAAATAAATACGGGTTAAAATCATCATGATCAATGGCTATGACTCGTGTATAAAGTAGACTATAGCAAGCAGCAGTCTAGATTGTAGTATAATGGAATGTCATGGACATCTCAGAGCACAATCTGCTCCTTCTTGGAAATCTCACCCACAGTGTCCTCCATTATCCACTGCAAACATTTGCGCTCTGTACATGTGTTGCTGTAGTCTCTATAATGTCACTCGACAGCGGCCGTAGTGAGGACAAGCAGAAGGCATGTTGCATTGAGGACACATGTTGCATTGTTCCAGCTAACAGATGCCTGAAGTGTGGAGCAAGCTGGGTGACAGATGCTTGGATGGGAAGGGAGAGGACTCGGCCACTTGTGCCAGGAAAAGACTCCACACTGTCTTCCACTATGCAAAGATCGCCAGTTCAAAAGCTTACACAGAGGCAGAAATAGGACTGGAAAAATCAAGGGACATAGCACAAACATTAGCTTAGAATGTAAATCACAGCTGTCAAGTCATTATCAAACTATGTTCTTCATCTTAAAAAAAAAGTGTAGACCAGTGGTCTCCAAACTGCGGCCTGGGGGCCGGATGTGGCCCATTGCTTGATTTTATCTGGCCCTTGGGGCACTATTTCATTCACCAACACCAATTATGGGGCACAGTTCCTCCCAATGACATCAATGATGGTCCATAGTTCCTCCCAATGACACCACTTATGGGGCACAGTTCCTCCCAATGACACCAACAATGGAGCCCAATGGCACTAATGATGGTGCACAATTCCTACCAATGATGCCAATGATGGGGCACAATTCCTCCCAATGACACCAGTGATGGGGCACAATTGCTCTAAATGATACCAATGATGAGGCACAGTTCCTCCCAATGACACCAACAATGGGGCCCAATGGCATTAATGATGGGGCACAATTCCTCCCAATGACACCAGTGATGGGGAACAATTGCTCTCAATGATACCAATGATGAGGCATATTTCCTCCCAATGACACCAACAATGGGGCACAGTTCCTCCCAATGACACCAACAACAGGGCACAGTTCCTCCCAATGACACCAACAATGGGGCACAATTCCTTCCAATGACTCCAATGATGGGGCACAAATCCTCCTAATGAAGCCAGCGATAGGGCACAGTTCCTCCCAATTACATCAGTGATGGGACACAATTCCTCCCAATCAGGGGTGGACTGACATCTCATGGGGCCCCCGGGCAATAGGGGTTCATGGGGCCCCTGTGTCCTTGCCCAAACTCAAAAAAGCATATGAAAATGGTACCAGGGGCATCTCATGGGGCCCCCTACTGACCCCGGCCCTTGGGCAGTGCCCTAGTTTCCAAATGGTCAGTCCGCCCCTGCTCCCAATTACATCACCGATGAGGCACAATTCCTCCCCATCACACCAATGATGGGACACTATTCCTACCAATGACACCAATGATGGGGCACTATTCCTTCCAACGACGCAAACAATGGGGACCAATTACACCAATGATGGGGCACAATTCCTCCAAATGACACCAGTGATGGGGCACAATTGCTCCCAATGATACCAATGATGAGGCATAGTTCCTCCCAATGACACCAACATTAGGGCACAGTTCCTCCCAATGACACCAAAAATGGGGCACAGTTCCTCCCAATGACACCAGCAATGGGGCACAGTTCCTCCCAATGACACCAACAATGGGGCCCAATGATGGGGCACAAATCCTCCCAATGAAGCCAGCGATAGGGCACAGTTCCTTCCAATTACATCAGTGATAAGACACAATTCCTCCCAATTACATCAACAATGAGACACAATTCTTCCCCATCACACCAATGATGGGATACTATTCCTACCAATGACACCAATGATGGGGCACTATTCCTACCAACGACACCAACAATGGGGACCAATTACACCAATGATGGGGCACAATTCCTCCAAATGACACCAGTGATGGGGCACAATTGCTCCCAATGATACCAATGATGAGGCATAGTTCCTCCCAATGACACCAACATTAGGGCACAGTTCCTCCCAATGACACACCAAAAATGGGGCACAGTTCCTCCCAATGACACCAGCAATGGGGCACAGTTCCTCCCAATGACACCAACAATGGGGCCCAATGATGGGGCACAAATCCTCCCAATGAAGCCAGCGATAGGGCACAGTTCCTTCCAATTACATCAGTGATAAGACACAATTCCTCCCAATTACATCAACAATGAGACACAATTCTTCCCCATCACACCAATGATGGGATACTATTCCTACCAATGACACCAATGATGGGGCACTATTCCTACCAACGACACCAACAATGGGGCCCAATTACACCAATGATGGGGCGCAATTCGTCCCACTGATGCCAAGGATGGGGCATTGTTTACTCCAACTGACGCTGGGACATTTTCTAATCCTGATGGTCACAGTGTGGACCCTCTAGTCTTAAGGACAGTAAACTGGCCCTTTGTTTAAAAAGTTTGGAGAACCTTGGCGTAGACTATACTTCACGCAGGCCCCGATTGGCTGAAAGGCTAAATAGAGCAATGCCCCAAGTATACACATATGTTAACCTCTGCATTTTTCGCTAGAAAATTACAAACAATAATATATTTCCTGAAAGCAGAGGCACTGAGAATAACATGGTGGCAGTTGCAATTTTTTACATTTGCTTGAATATTTGTCAAACAAAAAAAATGAGTAATATGAATTTTAGTGCACACAAACACAACAAAACCCTCAATTTCGATGAAAGATACAAGATGAAGTTGTGCCGAGTAAATAGATACCAAATATTAACGTGGAACTTTACCTAAAAAGTCCTCCTCCCAACTCCTCTTCTTTTTTTGGAATTTTTTTTTTGGGGAAGGCCTAGTTTTGACAGGTACCCTCTCCCCATTTCCACTGAAATTACCTAGGCACTTCCACCAATTTCACCAGAAGTTCTCCCCCCCCTTACACCCTTCCTGCCCGCAACCTTCTGGGAAGCATCACAGGTCCCAGAAGGCTGTGGGACCATTCACATGATGCAGCACAGCTTGTGTATACTCAGTGGGAAGCTGGCTGTGAAACCACAAGGCTTCACAGTCGACTTCCTACACTCAACATGTCGGTCCTGGGAAACCAAAGATGGGAAAAAAAAATCGACCCGGGTGAGGACAACGCTGGATCCCTGGACAGGTAAGTATCTTTTTATTAAAATTCAGTAGCTACATGATATGTTGCCGCTGACTTTTAAAGCAGAACTCCAGTTACATTTTTTTTTTTTACCATACAGTGGGGCTGTACCCCCTGCAAGGATCAGCTGTTTTTTCTAGAGGTGAGGACTAAGCTCACACTCACCTGACCCACTGATCCTATGGAAAACCGTGCTCCCCCACCGTCCAGCGGTGGACTGTTCCTGTCTGTGGAGTGTTCATGGAGTGTGCTGATGCCAGGAATAGTCCATTTACAAGACCGCGGGGGAAGAAGCCAAAAGGATCAGTCTTGCACGGGGAGGATCAGGTGAGTATATCTTTGGTGTTCTCTCCACTAGAACAGAATAGCATTTAATCCCTGCAATACCTGCACAGCCCCACTACACGGGCAAAAAAAAGTTTCCTGGATTTCTGATTTAATGTTTTGAAACCTGGCTCAAGAACTGTGTATTTCCACTTTTGCAGTCAAATCTGAGAAAACTTTACTACAGTATACTGTATGTTTATTATGTGTTTCCATTCACACAGTGTTTCAGATGTTTCTCAGGACAAGGTGTCATGGTTAATCCAACACAACAAACACTTTACTCCTGCTCTAGGAAAGGACTCAGTAGACCCAATAGGAATGTTCTGGAATTTTCTGGAATATGCACTGCTTGCTGCCCTCAACAGACCGGGGTGGTCCAAATACACTGGATACAAATGGAGAAACAGAAAAAGGGCGCACCGACCTAGTGCATTATCGTTTAAAAGAATTTATTGAAGAAACAAAATAGGTATCATACTCACAATGGACATATTAACACAGGCATGTCAAACTGAACAAGATGTATGATCCAAACAACATCTGAGTCCATACGATGGAATCCTGGATGACCAACTTGCTAACGCGTTTCGAGGACACAACCTCTTCCTCCTGGAGTCATGGTTGACTGCAAAGTTTTTTGAACAATATTAGTTCAAGAAATTTTTATCTGGTTCCAAGGCAAAGTCAAAAACAATCAACATTTCAGAGATACATTTATACTTGGTAAAGCTATCAATGACAATATCCATACAATTTTCTTGTATCATATATCAACATTACCAAGAAGCAAAAAAAAGATGCCCATAGCCAGGGGCGGACTGACCATTTGGAAACTCGGGACACTGCCCGAGGGCCCGGGGTCAGTAGGGGGCCCCATGAGATGCCCCTGGTACCTTTTTAATAGGCTTTTTTGAGTTTGGGCAAGGACACAGGGGCCCCATGATCCCCTATTGCCCGGGGGCCCCATGAGTTGTCAGTCCGCCCCTGCCCATAGCTTATCTATAAAGCCTTTTATCTATACATGCGATAATCATGTTAAACAGGTGTAAATTTTCATTTGAAATCAGAAAATTGCTATAAAACCAATACCAATTGAAACGTCATTTTTAGCAATTTTAGGGCTCATGTACACTGCAGCTGATAAACTGACGTTCAGGAGCTTTTCTGTGTTTTTTTTTTTAGCAGCCTCTGAACTCTCCCTAATGTTTTCCTATGTGTTCATGTACACTATGTCGTTTACAGGCAGTTGAGCTTACAGTTGTTGCGTTCAGAAGTAGATTTTATCAGCATGTCAAACGCTTGTAAACGCGGCTAACCGCGTTTAGAAGCGTTTGCATTTAGAAGCGTTTTTTAACTGTTTCATATCCAATTGCTGTCCAGAGCCTTTTTTCATAATCAGAGATGCATGCAAAGTGTTTTCTATGTATTCAAATGGACCCGATACACCAGCACAGTCAGTTCCAGGTTTTGCATGAAGGAAAAAATGGTAGAACGTGCCGCATTATGCTCATGGTGGGATCAGGGTGGACTGACCATTTGGAAACTCGAGCACTGCCCGAGGGCCCGGGGTCAGTAGGGGGCCCCATGAGATGCCCCTGGTACCTTTTTCATAGGCTTTTTTGTGTTTGGGCAAGGACACAGGGGCCCCATGATCACCTATTGCCCGGGGGCCTCATGAGTTGTCAGTCCACCCCTGGATGGGATCCATAGTGAATACAACCAGAAAAGACAGGTCATCTCAACACATACTGCTCTCTCTGCTTCTGCTCTCTCTATTTCTCTCAAAATGTCTGAAATAGTTAATTTTTTACTGTTTTTCAGTGTATTCTGGGCATTTTGGAAGGTCTCCTGATGTTATCTTTAAAAAAACGCTTCTAAACGCAAATGCACATAAATGCGCATAAAGCACACTAAACAGACATTTTTTAACCTACGTTTTCCAGCAGTCTGTTTCCATCATTCAGAAATGTTTTCCAAACGTCCCGTGTACATGGAGTCTTAGAGTGAGCCTGTCCCAGGTCTGTCCTCATTAACGCACAATACAGGAAGCCAAGCCTCTACAACTTTTAACTCTTTGTTAGGACAATGTTCAAATCTAGTTACAATTGATCTACCTGCACAGAACAGACAGGTTTAATTATAGGCCAACACAGCTGCCCAGCACCTTCACAAGCAAAAATATTTTTTCTTGCTGGATGGTCCAGAATAGCATCTAAAAAGGTGAGCTGCAATTTTTTTTTTTTTTTTTAAGTTTACGCTAAGTGAATGGGGACATGTTTGCTATTGTACAGCGCTGAGCAAACCCTTTGGCGCTATATAAATACTGTATAATAATAATATAATAATGTAACAAATATAAAGTAGGTGTTATTCAAACTTGCCTGCAAAAGTGAAAATATATTTTAAAGGTAAACTCCTGCCCAATGGTGAAAAACTACAGTACTCAAAGCTGTCTGTAGGGGGCAATTGAAAAGCCTTTACAGTTTCCCAGTTTATAGTTAGCCATGTATGATGGCCCTAGAATTATTCCTAGCATGTTGATGTGATGATGTACAGAGTGGCAATGATGTAATGACGTTGTCACCATTTTTTACATTATTACATGTTGAAGATCCCTTAGGGGCAGGCCCGTAACAACCCACACTGAGAGTATGTCCTCAGTCCTCTGGGTTGGGGTCAGGGGCGGACTGACAACTCATGGGGCCCCCGGGCAATAGGGGATCCCCCTGTGTCCTTGCCCACACTCAAAAAAGCCTATAAAAAAGGTATCAGGGGCATTTCATGGGGCCCCCTACTGACCCCGGGCCCTTGGGCAGTGCCCGAGTGCTCGAATGGTCAGTCCGGCCCTGGTTGGGGTTTAGGTGTAGGGCTGAATGACGCTAGATGTCATACAACCCCAAAGGCTGAGGGATTTATGCAGCAAAATCAATTAGCAGTCCCACCTGCGCATGCACCCACATTCTGATTAGATGAGAGAACCCCAGAAAGGGTTCCCATAGTTAGCTGCAGCCCTGTTGAAAGTAATGGGAGGCTGCCGGGTCCCAAAGCTAATCACGGTCACTCACATATAATCTTTCATGCAGAGATTACAATGTGAGGGATCAGTTTTGGATGCAAAAATCAGAATGGACCAAAAATGATTTACCATAGATCCTTGGAGCCCAACCTGCTGTTGTTTGTCAATTTTTTGTATGGCCGACAGGGCCCCTACAGACACTGATTTGTGTTTTCCTATTGCCCTGTTAGCAGTGATTTCTAGCAGTCTCATGGAATCAGGGGCGGACTGACCATTTGGAAACTCGGGCACTGCCCGAGGGCCGGGGGTCAGTAGGGGGCCCCATGAGATGCCCCTGGTACCTTTTTCATAGGCTTTTTTTTTGAGTTTGGGTAAGGACACAGGGGCCCCATGATCCCCTATTGCTCGGGGGGCCCCATGAGTTGTCAGTCCGCCCCTGAATGTGATATGTCAGCTCATTGAAAATGTCCTGAAGCATGTTCTCAGTCTGCCCTGCAGTATTTTCACAATCTCTGACCATTTTTTTTGTATCATGTCTACCATCTCTAACCATCTTCTGTACCATGTCCACAGTCTGTAACCATACCTTGTATCATGTCTGTAGTCTCTGACCGTCTCTCATATCATGTCTGCAGTCTCCGACCATCTCTTGTATCATGTCTGCAGTCTCTGACCTTCTCTTGTGTCATATTACAGTCTCTGACCATCTCTTGTATTATGTCTGCAATCTCTGACCTTCTCTTGTGTCATATACACAGTCTCTGACCATCTCTTGTATCATGTCTGCAGTCTCTAACCATCTCTTGTATTATATCCACAGTCTCTGACCATTTCTTGTATTTATGTCTGCAGTCTCTGACCATCTCTTATGTCATGTCACAGTCTCTGGCCAGCTCTCATGTCATGTCTGCAGTCTCTGGCCATCGCTTGTATCATGTCTGCAGTCTTCTGACCATTCCTGTATCATATCATGTCTGCATCTCTGGCCACTCTCTCTTTTGTATGATATCAACAGTGCTCTGACCATTTCTCAATCATGTCAGCAGTCTTCTGACCCTCTCTTGTATCCTTTCCGCAGTCTCTGACTATTTCCTGTATTATGTCCACAGTCCTCCGACCATCTCTTGTTTAATGTCTGCAGTCTCTGACCATCTCTGGTATCATGTCTGCCATCTCTGACCATCTCTCCATATCATGTCTGTAGTCTCTGACCATCTCTGGTATCATGTCTGCAGTCTGACCATTTCTGGTATCATGTCTGCAGTCTCTGACCATCTCCCATATCATGTCTGCAGATTCTGATCACCTCTTGCATCCTTTTCTGCACTCTCTGACTAATCCTGTATTATGTCCACAGTCTCTGACCACCTCTGGTACCATGTCTCCAGTCTCTGACCATCTCTGGTATCATGTCTCCAGTCTCTGACCATCCTCTGGTACCATGTCTCAGTCTCTGACCATCTCTGGTATCATGTCTGCAGTCTCTGACCATCTTTGGTATCATGTCTGCAGTCTCTGACCATCTCTGGTATCATGTCTACAGTCTCTGACCATCTCTTGTATATGTCTACAGTCTCCGAATAACTCCTGTATTATGTCCACAGTCTCTGACCATCTCTTGTATCATGTCTGCAGTCTCTGACCATCTCTGGTATTATGTCTGCAGTCTCTGACCATCTCTTGTATTATGTCTGCAGTCTCTGACCATCTTTCATATCATGTCCACAGTCTCTGACCATCTCTGGTATCATGTCTGCAGTCTCTGACCATCTTTGGTATCATGTTGTAGTCTCTGATCAGCATCTCTTATCATGCCTGCAGTCTCTGACCATCTCTGGTACCATGTTTGCAGTCTGTGACCATCTCTGGTATCATGTCTGTAGTCTCTGACCATCTCTGGTATCATGTCAGTAGTCTGTGGCCATCTCTGGTATCATGTCTACAGTCTCTGGCCATCTCTTGTATTATGTCTGCAGTCTCTGACCATCTCTCATATCATGTCTACGGTCTCTGACCATCTCTGGTATCATGTCTGCACTCTCTGACCATCTCTCATATCTTGTTTGCTGTCTCTGAACATCTCTTTTATCATACCCATAGTCTCATAGAGCCTCTAACACTGAATATTTGATGAATTTTATGTGTGGCCCTCTGGTGATGTTGAGAGCTGCACTTGAGGCCCCCATATCAATAACGTTGTCCACCACTGTTATATATAATAGACTTTGCTTTTATATTATAATATACTTCAATCTCTGCATCGGCACCTACCACCGCACTGTACCAGAATTATATAAACAGTGATAAGAAGTCAGAGCCTGACTTGTGTATACGTTATATATGACTACACACATACAGATACTCTGAGCTGTACATTAAACAAGCCATACATATAAGGAGAGGCGGGAGAGGTAAGGCTGGTGTGTGAGCTGGTTTGGCATCATCTGCCCCCCACCCCTCCACACTCATTCCTGGCACTCCCTCCCTCCCACCTTCCATATTCCTTCCCTCTTCTCATTCTCCCTGCTCCTTAGGAATTCAGAGAATGTGATAAGAGATGCAGAAATCTACAGCAACAAAACCCCCTTCACCACAGAAGAAAGAGAGAGAGCAAACCATCAACTGCCACTCTCAGGAGAGAGAGAGAGAGAGAGAGAGAGAGAGTGGGGGGAGCAAACCATCAACTGCCACTCGCAGAAGAGAGAGAGAGAGAGCAAACCATCAACTGGCACTCTCAGAAGAGAGAGAGAGAGCAAACCATTAACTACCACTCTCAGAAGAGAGAGAGAGAGAGCAAACCATCAACTGCCACTCTCAGAAGAGAGAGAGCAAGCCATCGACTGCCACTCTCAGAAGAGAGAGAGAGGGCAAACCATTAACTGCCACTCTCAGAAGAGAGAGAGAGAGAGCAAACCATCAACTGCCACTCTCAGGAGAGAGGGAGGGAGAGA